ATCAGCGGATCAGCGGAGCAGCGGAGCAGCGGATCAGCGGAGCAGCGGATCAGCGGACCAGCAGATCAGCGGCTCAGCGGACCAGCGGATCAGCGGATCAGCGGCTCAGCGGACCAGCGGATCAGCGGATCAGCGGATCAGCGGATCAGCGGACCAGCGGATCAGCGGATCAGCGGATCAGCGGATCAGCGGACCAGCGGATCAGCGGACCAGCGGATCAGCGGATCAGCGGACCAGCGGATCAGCGGATCAGCGGATCGACCAGTGGATTAGCGGAGCAAGACCATTTGAATCAAATCCCACGCACATTCTCACACATATTGTCTGGCTTTGGGAGAGAGGGAGAGATAGATGGATGGATGGATGGACGGATGGATCGAGCACGCGAGAGAGAGAGAGAGAGAGAGAAAAGACGTTGACCAAGAGATTTGACATGGTTTGAAAACCTTTCACGGATGCTGATTTCCACCCAGACAGCTTTGGACGGCCGCTTTGTGGTAGGGGCATGCGCCCTTCTACTACATACACGTGTATACATGAAGTTTGCACATGTATAGACTGCAAAGCAGCATATAGTCATTGTTTCGAGCGCAACCCTTTTTGTGCTTCTCTTATCTTATACATATTGTCAAGCACATGGTTTGCGCGGATGGAGCAGCGACTCGCTTGCTTGCTAGATGCCGTGACCAGTGCAGACCCGGCAGCAGTTGTGCCCGATGCCGTGGCTGGACGCGTGGTTGAGTGTCTTAGCGCAGAGATCGGGCATTGCCTCCCTGTCTTTGGCGGTGAAACCTGTTTCCGAGAATTGTTGCCACTCCAAAAGTCCTGCGCACGGTGTGATTCGCACCTCGCAAAGATTGCATCTGCCAAGGCAGTAGCGACCATAGTGCACACAGGTGGTTTGGTCAGGAAGGACCACATACCGTGTCGCTGTCGCAACAAGAACTGTGATATGTATGGCAGCTTGATTTGGCGTAACTACTTCGTAGACGCTGGAAGACATTTCTTTCTGGGACATCCACAAGACTTGAAATGCTTCATGGTTTCATCATCTTTTGGCTTTTCGATCGAATGGCTGGAAGATTTTCACAGCCGTGTTGTCCGCCAACACGCTAGCTTCATCAGTGAGAGTGACGTCATTCAACAAAGAGCAGTCAGACACGGTCAGACTGCTTGGCTGCCAGTGGCCCGGCTCAGAAAAATGATCAGCGAGGCTTGGTTCAAGTGGCGGTTGCTTGTGCGAGGGTACGCCTACAATATCCCGGGTGCGGCGCAGAACCCCATTGACATACATCAGGGAGTTGAAGATTTGCTGAAACCTGTTCTTCCTGCTTTACAAAAAGCATTTTCAGATGCTGCCGTGGCTTCAGCACGCTCAGCAAACATGCGGCGAGATGTCATTGTCATGGACGGGAACGCAAAGAACCGGCGGGCTGTATGCGCAGCGTTGCTGTGCGGGAGAAAGCAGTCTTTTTCTCTCAACAAAACACTCCGACACAATTGCCCAGCTACCCCTGCGCTTGGGCATCTCTTTTGCGCCAAGCACAATACAGATGATGTGGCTGCTGCACCTCAGGACCTGGGTTGCGGAAAGCTCATGGTCGAAGAATCACACACACATGCACACCCTGGTGTCAGACTCCCCAACTCTATTTTGATGGGAACAAGTGTTCGTCAAATAGTTTGTCTGTGCGGCCAGGGAAGGCAACTACGCGAATGGGTCGCAAACTATAGGATGACCTGTCGCCGCAGCCGTTTTTCCTGTCGCAGAAGAAAGCTATTTTGTTTGCCTCTTGGCCCTTGCTGCGTCCGTTGTGGCAATGAGCCGGGATGTTGAATATTTGCCGGCAATGAAGAAGATTTGGGATGCTGTGGGGAAGATGTGGCAACCAGCTGACATCCTCACGGCTAAAGGCCACCAGATGTGTCAAACATGGGCCGTCCGCGCATCGCACCCTGAGTACCCATATGCACTGCACTTGTTATCGATGATGGCACCTTTGACGAACGGAGCTGCTGTGCAGATTTTTCCCACGGCAAGCAGTCCTTTGGTTGCCTTTGGAATCAACGTGAACTATTCACAAACACGAAAGAGCTCATGCACCAGCCATGCTGACAGCATCACCAGGGTGTTGGATTCCCATGTCCGGCAAAAGACTCAAACCTTCTTGAACCAGATGTCAGTGGAACAAGATTTCACGCATGATGAAAGCACTGCTGCTGGTCAGAGGCGCGGTTTCGGATAAACAATGCGTGTTATTGAACAGAACTGCGAAACAAGCACCAACCAGAGCTGGCTTTAGTTCCAGAAGCTGTTGCTTCATTCTGTGTTTCATGTTGACAAAGCTTGTAGGTGTCTCGCGCCTTTGACTTTGAAGCTGTGACCCGAGGCCCAAACCGGTTGCGGCTGTGGTGCTATCATCCGCCATCGCAAGCGCAACCCCTGAGGAGTGGTTTCATAGATGCGCAAGTGACTTTGACCAGGTCAAGAATGGAAGCAAGTTGCCAGGTGGGTCACATCTCTGGCACGGCCGCCGGTGGTATGGAGTGCTTGGGAACCTCGACGAAGCGTATGATTTTCTCACCTCTTTTGGTTTGCTGTCTGATGAGAAGCTTTCAGCCAAAGCATCCACCAAGATTAGCCCGCATCAATCCTCTCTCAACAAACTTTTGCAGTTTGGCTCCGCGGCAAGAGCAACCAAGACGGCGGGTTCATTTGGCGAAACAGATTCCCGGAACATCTCGCTAGGTGTGACCACAAACATTCACCCGTCGCAGTTCTTTCCCATGGAGCGTGGCGAGAGTGGATCGCATCAAGTTGCATGCAAAGAGAGATTTCTAGTGGCTTCTGTGAAGCCCGTCCAGCCGCACCAAGACCTCCCCGACGATTTCATCTTAGAACCAGGCAAGGACGTCTTGAGCTGTTTCCTGTTCACCCTTTGACGGTTCGCTGGGTTTGTTGGGAGAACCGAGCTGTGGTTTGTTTACAGGACCATTTGATTGTTCGGGTCGTTGCTGACATCCTCAAAACTGCCTTAACACTCCTGTGGTCAGGGTATAGGAAGCTTTCAGTTTGTTGCGCTTCTTGAAATACCTGCCCTGGAACTTGCCAGGGACACCCAGACATGTTTGGGTACCTTTGCCGGCGGAAGTGGCCGAAATGCTCGGCATCGCCAAAGAGGCTACTTTCCTGGCGAGATGCCGCCAGAGCTCCCTGCCACGCAAGACTTTGCAGCCGACTACTTGCCATCTTCCGCGGGCTATCCTGTCCGCCTGCTTGACGGCAACATGAGCCGCCTGCGATTCCGCAGGGATCCCAGGGTGCCATCTGGCTTCACCGCTGAATGGCGTGTGGCCAACAGAGCTTTTCCTGTGCCTCCTGAATTCCAACTTGAAGCGGCAGTCCTGCGGGTCACGGAATATTTTTCCGTGCCACATATGAAACTTGATCTCACTCCCGAAGCCCAGCAAATGCACATGTCCTACCAGGGTGGATTGAATGTGCAGTCCCACATGGCCCGGGAACGTGCAGATCCTGTTGGTGGAGCCCGCCTCGGCGCTGCGCCGTGGCACATCGGCGTTTTGGCCGGGCTGCTGCTGGTCTACGAAATCTTCTCAGGAGTCTACAGCGCCGACCGCTTGCAGCAGAAAGATTTGCAGGTCACACCCGACCACCTTCGACGTGCGTTCGCTCTGGTCAAAATCGCCGGGTCCTGAGTATATATATATATATATAATATGAGCGTCCGACAAAGCCACCGAAGACTAAAGGAGTGACGTGCTACATACTTTATAGACGGCGCAAACACTTGGTACGTTGCTCAGACATACTTGTGCGGTACGTTGCTACATACTTGCACGGGCATGCTTCAGACAGTTTGGATTCGGGGTCTATGTGCCGGGGGGTGTTGTATCACCGGGCATGCACACATAGAGAGATGTTCAACTTTGCTCCACTTCAGCATGTCTGGCAGCCCTGTGATGGTGTTTTGACACCATTTCAAGGTGCATACAATCAAGGACATTGCCTTGGGCGAAGAAGCTGCCAGTCCCAACCCCCAGCCGCAGCCAGCAGAAGTGCAACCTGACTTCGATGCCTTGGTTGGGGCAGATCCACTTCCCTTTCCCGGCGGAGATTTTGCAGACTCCATAGTCGACGATGCGGCTGCAAGTCACAGCCCCGAACTTCCGCCCGAGACTGAGCCGCTCCGGGTTGCCGACGTTCGCTCCATCGAGTTTGGGTATGGCCCGGATGGCGCTTCAGTGCAGAGTGCTTTTCACTCGAAGCATTTGACTGATCGCTTCATCATGAAGGCTACGCTTCTACATGGGCATCCCAAGGTAACTTCGAAAACTATTTGCGACAAGTTGCGCTCCTCCAGAGAATCCGGTCGAAAGGCCTTACCGCGAGAGGACTGGGTGGCCGTGATGGAAGCTTGCGCTGGTTCTCCCATCCTTGACTTCCAAGACGACACCCTCCAACTTCGTGCTATACCGCAAGATGCACCAGGGCGGACATTCTACCACAATGAGCTGATGAAGTTGTGCGGAGTCACCATGAGAGAGCTCATGACAGCCATGAACCGAGCCGCAGCCGCAAAGGCGAAATCGGCAGCTCCTCCCAAGCGGAAGCGACAAGACGGACATGAAGATTAGATTGGTAGTAATGCCAGCTACAGGCTGAAAAAGAGATCTGTGCATCTGGCAGCTGGCGTTTGCGCACAAAAGCCCCCAAGGTGTACACAAAGGCCCCCATTCGCCACGTTTTCCCCAAATAGAATTCATATCCG